CGAATTTTCAAAAGTGAATCACACCTAATGCACAACTTAATCAAGGGATGAAGAACAAATATGAGGGATTGAACTCACACCCAACAATCATGCAAACATCGATCAAATTATGAATTCATCTAAAAAAACTCATATTGAAAGTATGAAAGCAAAAACACTAAGGACTTTAAAGGGTTACAATGTGTCTTGAATAACAAAGAAGGGTCAATTTCTAAAGGTAATTGAAACAAAAACTTGCCTAATTCAATGTGAATGATCATTTCACACAATCTCAAGCATTCACAAATTTTCTTCATCTTTTTCTATTTTCCTAATTGTTACACCATTTCACATAACTTATTAGCACTTTATTTGATTTTTTTTTCTTTTTCAATGTTGTTTCTCTTGCTTTTCTTTTTCACTTTTTTTCTTTCTTTTTAAATCTTTTTCTTTCTCAACCGCATAACAACCAACATTTTCTCTCAAACTTGAATACAACCAAGCAATGCGATATTTAATGCTTCGTGTTGTTTAGTTGCGCGAGACATCATCGATGAGACAATATGATAAAACTCTCGTCGACGCTTCAGACATGAACGCTGATGTGAGCGATACATGATGATATTGACGAGTGATTTAGGTTGTATACAACTGATCGATAGATTTAAGTATTTGATAGGGTAGATGAAATTCAATTCATGACGAGTTCTCTCTTCTCTAAAGAATGTATTCTTTACTTGTTCATATGTTTTTATTTTCGTATTTTACACTTTTAAACCATTCAAACCAAGCTTAGAAACATATAGATTATTGAACAACATTATTTCCCTTCCACCGATCCTTGTGGAGAGGATAAAATCCCAGAGGGAATTCTTCCAAATCTTTTGCTTCTTGGTGTTGTAGTGGATATAGATGTCATAAGCGTTGGAAATATGGATATAGATGTGTGATTAATTGAATATTATTGAATTGAAATGAATATGGAAAAATATATGAGTGGGTGAAGATGAACACCTAGCATTGTGATGAGTACCTTGTGAATGGTTGATATTTAGCGGGGGACCTTTGTCCTAAAAGTCCTATTTTGGTGAGGGGCTTGACTATAAAAGTCTTATTTATTACGATGATCGTATGCCTTGTATGCATTATTTATACTTGATGATCGTATGAAGATAAGTGAGGAAACATAGGCTTAAAAATAGGAAATGGATTAAAAAGAGAAATAGGTTACATGTATGACTTAGATAACACTATAGAGTGACATTCATGTTATGATACCTAGGTGTGTGTCATGGATGAATGATTACCATAGTTGTAGTGAGAAGAATTGTATGAAACATGTGTTGTTGTTGTGTGATTACGGTGAATTTGGTCACCTTGTGATTGTCGAATATAATCACGTTATGTTGTATTTCATCACATAGTCGGAAACAAACCCATGATATGTGACGTCCCGAGAGTTGATGCTTATGTAAAGCTCCTTTAGGATGTATGCACTAATACTTTGGCAGGAGTTCCCTTAAGCGAATGGAGCCTACGAGTAAAAGGCTTAAGATGGTCAGATATCCCATGGGAAGCGACGATTCGTAAGGTTTATTATATGTCCCTTAGAATCCAAATCCATTTGTTTGAGTCCTGTGTGTACGAATGGAGCCTACATGTAAAAGGATTGAGATGGCAGAGGTCTTATGGAAAGCGACGATTCATGTGGGAAGCACCTTGAATTCAAATCTATTTTGTATGCCAAAGTATGACACAAGGATCCATGACCCACACTAAAAGTTCTAGACGTAGGTGAGGCAGCAGGGAATTTTACCTTTGTATGGTTTCCGATTAGTGATTGTTTGAGTTGTTAAACTCAAGAGGCATGTTTCCACACATTGCAAGTTGTGTGAACTTAAGTCTTATTCCTTTTTTCCTTTGACTTGAGTAGAATTTGATTAGAACCCCGTAGAACCGAGTGAACCCATAAGATAGGGGAAATCACTGAGATTATCATCTCACCCCATTATTATTGTTGTTTTTCAGGTATTATTTGTAGGTTTAGTTTACAAGTGGAGCTATGCATAAATGTTTCAAGAGAAGATTAAATTATGATTATTTTATTGTGTTTTGTGTATATTGTACAATGAAGAATATTGTACTTAGATCTTAGATTTTATTGTTTTGGCATTTTCCATATTTTATACCATAGATTGTTTCATTGTTATAGTAATGGTCAAGTATGTAAATGTTACCAATATGCACTTATGATGGTGTCAGCACCAAATAATAACACTTGTATGATATTATTATCTCTCTCTCTCTCTCTCTCTCTCTATATATATATATATATATATATATATATATATATATATGCGTTACATTTGCTTTAATTTTACTATTTTCTCCTTCGGTGTTTTGTTTAGCTTTAAGGGGTGATGGTTAGGGATGTTCAAAAGAACTGGAAAACCGAACTAAACCATCGAACTGAACCGAACCATGTTTAAACGAACCAAACTATTTCTTAAATTCAAGAATCGAGACTATTATTTTTTAAACGTTTCTCTAATTGAAACCGAGCCTAAGTAACCAAACCTGAATTGTAAATAACTGTACCAAAGAATATTATTTTTTTTAAGAATAATAAATCAAGTGTGAGTTGGAGTCCCACATTGGTTATAAATGTGGATACTTGAGCATTTATAAGTGGAAGAACCTACACACCTATCACCTTAAGGTTTTGGATGAATATGTGGTGTCTCTCTCACTTGTGTGTTGCTCTTGACCAAATCTTGATACTCATCCTCATGACCCAACAAATGATATTATGAGCCTAAGAAGAGGTGTCAACGGCGGTACAAGTGTATATGGACAAAAAAAAATTTCAGTTGAGGGAGAGCATTGTGGAATCACACTTAAGCATGACAACATAGCCCATACCGACAGGTACCCACCCGAACCCGCTCCGAAGTTGACGGAGAAACTCCGCTTTAACTGGGTTTGTAAGCATGACAACATAGCCCATACCGACAGGTACCCCACCCGAACCCGCTCCGAAGTTGACGAAGAAACTCCGCTTTAACTGGGTTTGTAAGCATGACAACATAACCCATACCGACAGGTACCCACCCGAACCCGCTCTGAAGTTGACGGAGAAACTCCGCTTTAACTGGGTTTGTGTTCAAGGTTGGGTTTTCCTGATTAAAAAATATGGGGACGTGTCAGATCGGGTAATGAGAACACTAGTATCTGAAACCGCCTGCTCCGAAGTTGACGGAGAAACTCCGCTTTAACTGGGTTTGTGTTCAAGGTTGGGTTTTCCTGATTAAAAAATATGGGGACGTGTCAGATCGGGTAATGAGAACACTAGTATCTGAAACCGCCTGTTTATTTTATTATGTACATTATTATTTAGTTTAGTTAATTTGGAATATTAATATATGACCAATGTTTTGATATTTTGATTTGTATTGATTATATAAAAAAATTGAAATGTGTGTATGAAATTTTTTGAATTGTTTATCTGTAATATAATTTGATTTTGAAAAAAATAAATATTTCTATTAAAAATATTATTTTACTAAATGGATAGTTGCGGTGTGGGGATACCCAAACTCATCCCAAACCTGTTTGAGACAAATTTGGATTTTAATTCTACATCTCCGTTTGGATTTGGGCCAGGGAACAAAGATTGTTTGGGGATTCAAGTTTGAGTTTAAGGAGGTAAAAACCGTCTCAACCCGCCCCGTTGTCATACCTAACTTATAAATGTGGAGACTTAACATTTATAAATGGAAGAATCCACACGCCTATCATCTTAAGATTTTAAGTGAATATGTGATGTCTCTCTTAATTGTGTATTACTTTTGACTCAGTACTAATACTCTTCCTCGTAACCTCACAATTCTAAACGTTTCCCCTAGTGAAAGGAAATATAAGTAACCAAATATGAACTGCAAATTTATTAATTGCTAATATTATGATAATACAACTATACAAATTTATTTAATATGAAATAGAAAAAATTATTTATAAAACTATTTTATGTTCAAAATTTTATAAAAAAATTCGAATGAATACGATTATTCTTAAAAGGCTTTAAATATTATTTTCCTAAAATATAAAATGAGTTCAGTTTTAGTATAAATTATATAAATTATAATAAAAAAGATTATAGAAACACAAATCAATCTAATTCATTAATTTGAATGAATTGAAATTTAATAGTTGTGATTAATTGTTGTTATTTCTCATTATAATCGAATATATATATATAGAAAATGAATGTATAATTAAAAAAAAACGAGGGACCAATATTAAATGTTAGCCATCAATATTTTTTTTCTTCTCTCACTTTAATTACAACTGCTATTGGGTTTCTTTTGAGTGAACTTGGTTCCCAACTCGAATTCGGTGCTCTCGGACATGCTATAGCTTTGCTGTTTGTTCGAGCCACTTTTCCGGCAGCTTGTTTTTTAACTGACGGATCTTAGATCTCTCGCCGGAGAGGGTTGCTTTCAATCGCTTATTCATCACATCTTGCCGGAGACGGTTGCTATCAATCGCTTATTCAATCACATCTCGCCGGAGACGGTTGCTATCAATCGCTTATTCAATCACATCTCGCCGGAGACGGTTGCTACCAATAGCTTATTCAATCACATCTCGACTCTGCTGCCGCTCTTCAGGGACAGGTGAGTTAAAACACTCCATACTCACGTTTCCATCCATCTCTTCTGTAAGCTTGTTTGGTTTTCTCTATTGAAATTGATTTTATCATCTGTAATCGATTCTATCTGAAGCCAAGGTTAGTAGCTTTCACGTTCAGCCCAAAATCAATTCCACGAAATTTCTATTCCTTAGTTGCTCTTTAATGTGATCCTCACTATACTATCGTTAACCTTGAATTTGTTCATATGCATATGATCGTAAGCACTTCAAAATGTCTTTAAAGTGTTTGATGAAATGCTTTGTTATTTAGTTGTGTGATAATTTGGAAACGGTTTAAGTGATGATATTGGAATCAATTTGAAGGTGTAATGGGAAGTGAGGATGGAAGAGATCCATTCAAAGGTGTAGATTGGAAAGCTGTTGGCGGTGAGATGCAGCAAAACCCTAATGTCCAACCATCTCTCGCAAAACGACTCCCCAAGAAAATTAGACTAGTACCGGAATTCTATTTCCTTCCTAAATGGCCACTACCATCCGCCTTGTTGTTCTGCAGTGCCTGTATTGCCGGTGGAGTTGGTGCTGGTATGCTAGTAGAAGCATGGATAGACAAGAAAGTTAAAGGTACTCTTATTTCCGCTTTCTTCTCATTTCTCTTCAATTTAGGTACCTGAAGTTTAGGTTGTGAGCATTTTGGTGTTATGGAAATCTTTTTTAGTACATATATATAATTTCTCTTCACTTTTCTCATTCAAACAAGTATTATATCTCACATATCACATCACTATTTTAGCTTAACTCATAACAGAAAATATATAGTTAGTTAGTTACATAGTAAGTAAAGTAACTCTAGAATATCAGAATGTTTCAGTATGTATGCAAAATTGTGATGATAATTAATATGCAATAAAAGTTTTCTACGGTTTGAGTACTTTATTTCTATCAATATCAGCATCTCAATTAAGACCTAGCAATCTAAAACTCAACACTTATTAGTAGTATGTTTTTCCTACTTCCTAGGAGTCTATTAGTGTTGATATACAGGCATTATTTTCTTTTATAGACTTGCAGCACAACTTGTTATTATCTGACTATTATGTTTTTCATTCAACTTATCATTGATTGTTCTGTTTACTCTGTCAGTTAGATTAGTTTATTTCACACTTCTGTAACATCTCTTTGGATTACATTATGCTCCACAATTCATACTTTTAATTGACTTAACTTATATTATGGTCTTAATCATACATATTATTTATTTAAAACATGTTATGGGTTTGCTTCACTGCATTAAAGGGTTGGGTTTTAGGTTTGCAATCGAAGCTTTTTGACTCATGCATCAAAGGGTTGGGTTTTAGGTTTGCAATTGAAGCTTTTTGACTCATGCATTTAAGAGCTGGGTTTTAGGTTTGCAATTGAAGCTTTTTGACTCATCAGAGAGCTCTGCTTTAATTTTAATATTTTTTCTCCTTGGATGTTTTGTTTAGCTTTAAGAGGTGGTGGTTGCGGCTGTTAAAAAGAACTGGAAAACCGAACTGAACCGAACCATCTATAAACGAACCAAACTATTGAATTCAAGAATCAAAACTATGATTTTTTATGGGTTTCTCTAACTAAAACCGAACCTTAGTAACCAAATCTGAACTGTAAATAACTGTACCAACAAAGAATATTACTTTAAACATTTCTCTAACTGAAACCGAACCTAAGTAATCAAATCGAAACTATGATTTCTTAAATGTTTATCCAACAATGAATATTATTTTTTGAACAGCTTTTTGAGAAATGAAATAATAGATCTAAACAGTAAAAACAAGAAATAACATAAAACTCCAGATGGGAAAATACTGAACCGGTTCTCCAGTCGCCAATTTGTGACTTCATTCTTCAGTTCAAATATAATTTTGGTTCAATCAGAGCAAAAATACTGAACCGGTTCACCGAACTGTTATGACAGTTTGGTTCAGTTAAGTATAAACCATTAATGGTTCGGTTCGGTTCGGTTTTTAGAACTGTTGTGACTGTTCAGTTCAGTTTTCTCAGTGATCCAAACCATGACAGTCCTAGTGGGAAGATGTGTCTCATTTTCTTCTAGTAGTCTACTTTAGACTTTGATAAGTTTTCAATTGGTCTTCTATCGGTGTTCATAATTACATGTTTCGGTGTTAAATGTTTTTTCAGCAAGCTTAATTCAGGTTATGACTATCTCATATTGTGCATTTCAACTTTTCTAGGCTAAACGAAGAAATTTAGTTATCTGGTACCAGTGTTTTTATTCTTATTTGTTTTTAAAGTTTGAGATTATTCTCACGCTCTTTTAATTCTGTGCTGCAGATGATGGTGGGGTTATATGGGAGTTTGAAAAATAAACTCAGAATTTTTGGTACATCTACTGTCACATAACTGCCTCTCCAGCACTCCACTCAAATATTTATCTCTACTCAAATTTATCTATAGTTATTAGTTTAACAAATAAGTGTGATTCAATAGTTTATTTGGGTTCTTTCTTAGCCTGTTGATCGACTAGTAGTTCTCAATTGACATCTCTCCATGTTTAAATTTGTGAAAGAATTTTTTTGAGCATGACCTTGGTTTAAATTGATTTCTATTTAACTATTTTTTGCCACTGGCTCAATTTGGTGATTATATATAGGGAATTACTCTTTCAATTCTTAAAGGTTGTTCCTCACCTATGCGAAAAGTCACAGTTGCCCTTGGTTTTGGAGGAGCATCTTTGGACGCATCTTTTCTCCGTATGCATAAAAGGTTAATATGGAGATGCATCTCCGTACGAATAAAAAGTTAATTCGGAGATGCATCTCCGTAACCCCCTTTAGTTTAACATTTAGTGAGTCTTTCGGAGATCTTCGAAATATGCCCGGTTAGTTTAAATCAAAAACAACAAAAGGGAAAAACAACAAAAGGGCGATGATAGAATGGAAAAATAACATACACTAATATTAAAATAAACATTACATAAATAATTGTTAACATTAACATAAATTTAATATTACATTTAATTATAAATTGATGGTTCAAGATGTTATAACATTCTTAGAATATCTTTGGTTGATCTTGCAATCGTTGCATCCTTTTCGATCGAACTATTTGTTTAGTTCAAGTATGGTGAATTGTATCTTTTCTTTGTTGTCAATTGACAACAAATGGTTTGTGTAAGGTTTGAAGTGTGGCTTTAACAACCTTTTCCATGGAAGACCGCATAAGGCCACCCTACCACTTTTGGTGCTAATTTTAAAATCATAAAAAAAGAATACTCTGACGGTAGGAGAGACATCCAACCCCTGACATATAATTTTGAACGCCCTAAAGATACCCCAGACGTTGAGCATAAATTTAAAAGAAGAGACCTTTGAAGTCGTTAGAAACTCAATTTTAGACGGCTTGAAAGATATTAAGACTCCTAAATCATGAATGATAGGGAGATGAAGGTAGAAATAGGGGTGGGCAAGCCATCTAAAGCGGACATATTGGCTCTCTCCCCCTTAGAGTATGACTCTAAAATCACATTATCCTTATGTCCAATTTGCTGTCAAAAAGCAGTTATCCTTTCCTCGTTGGAACAAAGGGACACAAAGTCTTGGACGTTAAAACACTTGTTATTTGTTTTGCCATCGATTCTGGGAAAGAACGGGATGAGCAAGAAAATCACTAACAAAACTATCAGGGATCTCACATCCAAAGGCCTAATTCGTGACGTTAAATGCACAATCACTCGTTAAATATCCTATAATCTGATCATTAGAGTTAAGAATAGAATGAGTAAATGAATAATGAAATCGTACCTCCAACCATGCTCAAAAACTTGTGAAGTAAATGCACTATACACCTATAAGAAATCTTAATTATATGAATGGAAGTTTAGATGGAGAAAGTGCAGAGAAAGTTTAAAGAATGAAAACTAAAATCTTTTTATTGGAAGAGGAAGTCCAATCGTAGGGAAAACCTACTAACACCCACTAAGCACTTCAACAATCATAAGAAAGAGGGAAATTTTCCCACTTTAGGGACATGCGTAAGAAGTAAGGCTAAATTTGGCTTTCGGAAGAAAATCATCATTGATCGCATTCAAAGCAATGCACACTTTCTTCAAATAACGTTTGATTTACCTCAACAAACTAACATTTAATTTATCTCAGTTGTTTGTCATTTGATTTCCTTCAATTGAATGACGCGTGATTCGCCTTATTGCCACTTAGATATATATCCTAGACTCGCCTCATATAAGAGGGAATCGCCCTAGAAATTACCCAGATAAGGAGAAAAGCAATCAGACTAAATCACTTTGCCCTTTCTAACCCTCGTGCATGAGGGACAATGTATTGGTATATTTATGAAAGACCCCACAAGGGTCGACAAGGAGACAATTGATGTAACATCTCGCCCATAATGTCATTCTTGATTGCTCGTTTCCTAAATCGAGCACCCATTTACTGGACGTGATACCCTTTCCTCAAATACGTGACCCATTTCCTAGGCGACTTGCTTGAAGCGTGAAAACGTGGGAAGTGACGTGTCCTTGGTCCACAACGGTGTGGAAGAAGTCAAGAGAAATTAGACACGCTCACTTAAATAATATAGGATTAACTATCCACTTTCACATTCTATCAAAAATGGTTGCTACTCTAGAGAGACTTATGATCTAGGTCATGTACAACTATAAATACCTTAACCCTAAAGTTGAGAGGAAATATCTCATATTCACATAAATACTGAAACACGTAGCTTCTCACTTCCCTATGCGAGCTAGCTCTAAATCCTATAACAAATCCGAAAGCCTTGACATCCGCTTAATCATTAGGGATTGTCACATATACTTTTAACGAATACAAATTTCAATTTTAAATTTAACATATTAAATATCATATTATAATTATTTTGAACTATATCTAGATTAAAATAAAATAATTATAAAAAATAAAATATGAATAAAACAAGCTTCTTCTAAAAAAAAAATTGAAATTAAGTTTTACCAAACAAAATTTTCATATCTAAAACAATTTTAAAAAATAAAATTACCATACAAGTTTTATTTAATTCTTCTCTTCAAAAAGTTTTTTAAAAATATATACAAAATAGTTATTAAAAATTAAAAATTTAAAACTCTTTCAAAAGAAGTCATTAGTGACTCTTATATTAAAAAAAAAAAAAATTAATCAATAGCCAAGAATAAAAGAAAATGGAGAGGCAAAAAATAATTGTTGGATTTCGCCTTTAAAATACGATATTTGAGTACATTTGAGCATCTTAAGAGGCTTTACACCTTAGTCTCGAAACCTAGGAACACATTTTAAAGAAATCCTATGAAACATTTCAATAATGAGACTAGCATTTAATTTACATGCTTCCTAGTTCTTAGGCATAACGGTCTCAATTTTTTCGGAGCTTTTATTTAAATTAGTTGTAGTTTAATCATGGAAAACAAATGTAGGTCCTATCTAACCATTATAAATATTTTATGAAGTACTATTTAACCACGGATTAGCTATGACAAATTTGAGACCCTGTGAATTAGGTCGTCTTGCACGCCCTAAAAAACGACTTTGTCCCTAAGTTATTCACGACAATTGTCAAACCTATTCCGCTTCTCCAAGCAACAACCTTGGTACGTGGAACTCTGCCCAGTTCTCTAAAAGGATACTCGATGTTATACCATGAGAAGACTCTAGGACAACTGTTGTTATGGGCATGTCAAAGGTCCAAAAAGATAAAGCCCATGTATGATCTAAATCTTGAGCATGTCACCTAACTCTCACATATAAGGAATCTCATGTGAAGAAAAATGAATGATTCAAACCCACTTTCAATCACATATTTTCCGCCATCCTCTTACTGACTTGGATGTTGTAGTCCTAACCTTGCAAGTTAGCCTCCTTTTCATGTATTAAAAATACGAATCTGCTTCAGCAAGACATTACTCATTATTCTTGAGACCATTTCTAATTCTAAATTTATCAGTTCTTTTGCACTGATCATCTATAGATTGAAGCAAACTTCATTTCAATTTTGATGAAACTATATATATATATATATATATATATATATATATATATATATATATATATATATATATATATATATATATATATATATATATATATATATATATATATATATATATATATATATATATATATATATATATATATATATATATATATATATATATATATATATATATATATATATATATATAATTAAAAAAGATTGATAGTTAATTTCAAATTCTAAAATATCAGTAACTAACTAATTATAAGCTCTATTTTAAGATCTGCAAATATTTCAAATCAGCTAGACTTGTCATGTTGATTTTTTTTTTCTCTCTATTTTATATATTTTTCTTTAGATTTGAATTTTTAGAAAGATGGATTCGAGAGAAGTAGATTGAGTGACATTGATGGTATAGGTTATAACTTGTAAGATAGAGATAAGGTTGAATTTTGAGAGCGATTTACTGTGACTTTGTGGGGTTGGGTTTACTTGATAAGGGGTTGAGTCTGAGAAGATGTAGCAGAATGTAGTTGAGTTTTATGTTACACTTATATTTTTGTAGATTTTGGATTTTAAGGTTGTGTTTTTTAGATGAAGATTGGTGTTGTTTGTTGGCCGATTGTATTCACGTGCATGTTCTGAGTTTTTTGTTTTGTTTTTTTTCATATATGAAATTTGGGTTTTTATTATTACTCTATTAATTAATTAATAGTATACTTACTTTTTTTTTTAAAATTATTTTTTAACGTGGAGTGGCATTCACGTGCACAGTGACAGAGGTTGAAGAATTCGAAGAAACATTCGTGTGGTACATTTGAACTTTCAATTTGACAAACAAATCCAATTCCAGACATTTACAATTTTAAAACTCAAATATGATAGTGAACTCCCTTATTAGGTACTTATAATACTTTTACAAACTGTCTCTTACAATCATTATTTTTCTTTACCAAAATAACTTTATTTCATCATCTCTGTCTTGTGTCTTGTGATGAGTAGTAAATCAACAACTTCTAAAAAAAAACGAGTAGAGAAAGAAGTGGAGTGATGGGAAATAAATCATAATGAAACACTAAGAAGGCGCATCCAATTATTTAAGAATAAATATTCAAAATTTCTCCCCAAAACAAAGCTTATGCAAAGCCTTGATTTCCAAAGCATCAAAGGGGAATAAAAATAAGAAATCCATACCCTCAAGTTTCCAGAAAGTTGGAGTGCCTAAAAAATAATGGCTCATTTCCAGCTCCAACTTGAAAGTGATACACAATTGCAAAATGTGATGCAAATAAATTATATTTAGTCTCCTTGTGTATGAATGGAAAAGTCATGGCATATCATTAGGGCTAAAAACTGATATTGACCATGACATACCATTAACAATGATTTGGACCATCGATCATGAGGGAACCGGTTTATCTGTTGCTTTATAGTAAAGCATCTTCTGTACATAGAACATCATGTAACCCTGAGCAGCCCTCACAATGTTTTCATCAACTTGAGTAACCCAAGAATCATCACACTTGTACCATTGATTGCTTAGTCGCAGATAAGTCACATAATGGCCAGCATCTAGCTTACCAGAGTGAGTGACGACAGCAAACAATTCAAACTCTGAACATAGATCATTTGAAGCTTCAGGCTCATCCCCGTCAAAAGGAAATATTCGGTTACCAAACCGACGTCTTAAGATTGAGGATGATAGATAAGGTGACATGTCCAGTGAAAATGGGAACTGTAGATAACGGTCCACCTTCCTGGACATTTTCCTGGTTGAAGAGTGCTCAAATCTTTTTATATGGAAGCAAGAAACGAGGGGAAGTTTCCTTATGGACATCTGCTTGAGAGTTTCCTGCTTCACCTGACATTGCTGACAGAAAAACTTTTGGTTTGACCCCAATTTCTCTGCTCTTGTAAATCTATCTAGGCACCCCACCAAGGTAGATATCCCACGGTTTTGGCTGGAATCAGCCTCGCCAATGCCAGAATGACTGGAAGCTGCAGCAGCCATCTTAGTAGAACCACCTTGATTCGGTTCCAAGTCAAGTGAGATGTCTATGCATGGGTCATAAGTTGTTGATGTGAATCCACAGGCCATACACATAACATCTGATCGCAAAATACCAGAGAATACCCTATGAGCAATACAACAATCACCACTGCCTGCACAGTCAATAAAATGGGATCACAAAATGTCTTCTTCATGAAACACAAGTATGCGACAAGAGCACATCTACCATTGAAGATCTTGCACATTTTAGCAAAAGGTAGCAAATAAGTTCATATAGGATAAATTAAAAATAAAACAAACGGCGGAGCATTCTATCAAAAATGAGGTTTTCAAGTGCAGGTGACAAAAATTATAATTGTACAACCATTGTAAGAACCAAACAAGTTCAGGGTGTTATCCATAATCCCTCCATAATATGCAAGAGACCAGCCTAAAACACATTCTGGAAGAGTGAACTGATTCTCGAACAAACAGGGTCCTAAATCTGGGCTTCTTAATTGGGAATGAGGATGTGGAACTTACAATGAAACCAGAGGGACAATAACTACAGTATAAAATTAGTCACACAAAAATTACAATAAAAAAGATGTTGGCGTTTTATGCGGGATATAAAACATCAAGTAGAAAGAACCACATAAGATTCTTTCAAGGATAAAATCTTAGCCAAGCATTCAGAAGACTCGTTCTATTACATTCATGGGGACAGAAAACTAAGGCAACTTTCTCTCTAGGATAGACAAGCCTTGTAAAAATTAATTAAGAACCTAAGCATGGCAAAAAGATGGAGTTAACATTAGCATCATTTGATCTAGAATCTCCTATATGGTGTAGTGAACAGGCTAAGGAAAAATTGACTTACTAGGACTCATTGGAGTGTAGGCGCTAACACCATCAAGATAGCACAGGATGTGATTGAGAATTAGCGCTAATTGTTTGAGCAATGTCAACTCCTATGGCAACAAGCAAGAAACCTAAACCCTCACCCTGCATTTCAATGTTATGGTAACTATGTTATCTTAAAGAGTATTCGGAATCATTTTGAAAGTTAAAAATACCAAAACATTGAAGAAAGCAAGACAACCGCACTCTATTGACCACCTTCCATAGTTAGCCTGTTTGCAACTATAATTATGCTAAGCTAATTCCTTAACTTGGCATATGTTGAAATGGGTAGCAGATTAACCGTCTGCACCATCTAAAGGGTTTGTGCTCTTGACAATCCAATGCTACTACCACCCAATATCAAAGACCAGTATCATTTCCTATTACTTTTCAAGTTTCAAATTCTCTCATAATTATTAAACCATGTAGTTAAATTTTGCCAATAAAACAAGCAACTGCCTTTGGGCTAATGTAGATTTTGGTCATTGCAGAAGGCCTCTTAACACAACAATAGCACCATTTACCATTATTAAAAAATAAAAGACACGCATAGAAGTCATCCCTAAATTAATTTATTAATGACACCGTAACCATGACTTGAATACACTGAAACAAACATATCTTACAGAGTATAACAAAAAACACCAAAGAAACCAGAGCTTCCATAAAGGTTAGAAAAAGACTACAGGCCAATCATGAATAAAATACAACTATTCTCAACAAGAAATTCCTTTCATGCCATAAAACTAAATAAAAACCTCCTCTCTCTAGCCAAATACAAAAAACTAAAACGGGTTATCCATGGAGCAATAAGCACTTCAAAGAAGGTGAAAACAATAAACTGGTGTGTGACTATATTAGAATGTAGTACCTTCACTGTGTGTCTTACGCCGATCCTTATCCACCTTTTCATGGATTCCATCAAGCATAGAAATGAAAAATTCATGCGCATCCTGTTGTTCATAGCTGGCAAGGTTGGACTTGGCAGCATGCTGCCACCAACTGAAACACAACAATAACAACAACTTAAAAGCTAAACTTACAACAAACAATAATATGTATTAAATTAAAAATTCATACACCACTATTAATCAATCTATATAGAAACCCAATAAAAAAATTATAAAAAATAAAACACAACATTTACATGACAAGAAACCCCACAAATCTAAGCTCCACAATATACGCACCTGTACAAGAACTTGGCAGGGCTATAAGGAACACGATCTCCAGAAAACACTGCAGAGAACATAGCATCCATATCGCAAGCTAAGCATACTCGTCGATTATTATTCCCATTGTTACCGCCATTTTTTTTCCTTGTTGCTGCTATGGTAGAATCATCACCATCTGTATTACTATTCTTCTGGCAAAAGTACCGGTTATGCTTATCGCTCAGGAAGTAATTTCTCAACGGCGGCGTGTGAAACAACGCCTGCAACACTGAATTCATGAAACAAGTGTTTCCCAGATTGTTCAGCCCTCGCAATCCCCGCGGAAACTCTGGAAAAGAACCATCAGCGTCAATCGGAGCAGAACAGCTTCCGATCAGAGCTCGCTCGCGCAGATCCGGAGTTGCAGGTCGATAATCCACACGTCGCCTCTTCCTGAGATTCTCCGGATGCGGCGTAGGGATAACCGTTGATTCTCCACCGCCAAGTGTTGAAGCAACAGTCTGTGCGATCACAACCGCAGCATCGAAGTCGCGATCGTATACTTGATCACGGCAAGCACAGCAGAAAAGCTCTGCGCGGTCGACGTCAATCGCGATCTGGTGACCTGGAGACATTGAGGCGGCATGTGCAGCTGCGTGGGATGGAACGCCAGATGCAGAGGAGTGACACGACACGGTGGAGCAAGAAATACAGGCGTAGAGGCGGGAAGGAGCGTGGACACCACAAGCGCTGCAGTGAGGAACTTCGTGAGGATTACGGCGGAGGGAAGCACGGCCGCCGGGAGGCTTGATACGGAGGCAGCTGTGGAGGGAGAGAAATGGTTTGGTGGAAGTGGTGCGGAAGTCAGCCAAGTGGGGGCATGGCTGTGGCGAAATCTGACCGTTGATTTTGGAGGACATGACGGTGACTTAATAATGTAAATGGATCGGAAGGATGGTTAAAGTTGAAGTTTCAATGGCATAAAGCGCTTGGATCGGAGAGGAGAATCAACGGGTGAGATTGGTGGAGGAAACGGAGATTGATCAGGATTTGCGGTTCATTCGGTATCGTGTTCAGCTGCTGCTAGCGGCTACTTTTACTCTTCCATCGAAATTTCGAACCATATTTTTATTTGTTTCTACCACACGCTCGATCCCTAATTTAACACTCACTTTTCATAATTATAACATTCACTACTTTATTTGTATTTGGTCCCGCATGTTTGATGTCTACTATGAAGTCGTTTTATGTTTTTTTGTAAGAATAATTTTCATACGAATTTATTTTTGAAATTAATTGATACAGGCACAATTTTTAATATTTATGAAGTTTAAATAAAAGAGGAAGATAAGCACCGTATTTTTGTTTTTCGTTTTAGAGGCAGGGTGGTTAGTTTATTGCATTTATGTATTATTGAAGTTTTTAACATCTTCTTTATCTTTTCTTGAGTATAAAAAAACATCTCTATCTTTTTCTGGAATTTTTTTACGAAAGAAAAATAAATTAGTAATGTAAAAAATAACAGAATTGTCAAAAGACATTGTTTTAAAAAACTTGTATTTTCTTATCTAAGTTTTGAGCATTCATTATCATGAAAAACAAATATAATGACGATTATACATTTAAGTGGCATGTGATTGTATGAAAGGTGTTTCTTATAACTTTTTATAACAGATGAAAGAATAATTATAAATTAGATAGTTTGTTATTTATAACAACAATTGAATCAAATCATTAAAAAATAATTTATAAATTCTGAATTTGAATTCAAACTACGTTCTTGTCTTTTATTATTATGGATATTGCGCTCTATTTATAACAATAGTTGAGTTAAAAAACGTTGTGATATAATTTTTCTTTTTATTTTACAATATTCTCAAATTTTAAACATGAATATTTCTGAATCATAGCAAACTAGAAATAACAATACAATTTTTTTTGAATTGAATTACACCAAAAAAATTGTATAAATGAATGACACAATTCCATTAGAAAGCAAAAATTGTATAGTACATCAAAACAAAAATTGCACAAAACAATTTACAATGTACACATCATTACAACAAATAATATTATTTTATTATATTAATGTCTTGACTTTAAACACTTAGAATTTTAAATAATAATAATTGTTAGAAAATAAAATCATTAGTAATTAGAACATACAATAAATTATGATGAGGAATATAAAATACTTACTTTTTAATTTTCTCATATGCATTCTTGATTATCGTTACGAATAGCATATACATGAACTCTATCAACTTATTCATATAAATTAGGCATTTGTGTTGCATAAGAAGGAGTGGAAGGATTATCAAAACTTCCATCATCACTAGGAGAAATGTGTTTTTCTTTGAGAAAAATTAATCATCTCTTCGAAAATTTTGCAGGGTCTGTCATATAAAAAACTTATTTTGCTTTAGTAGTCATGATGAATAGTTCGGATCATGGTCCAGTGTTATAAGTTGCCTTGCCAAGGTTAACCCATGTTAATCCTAACTCATCAGTTTGTGCACTATTATTGAGAACCCATTTGCATTTAAATAAAGGCACTTTAAAAATAACATAATAAATCTCTAAAATCTATTCAATAACACCATAGAATGTGGTGGTTGCCAACATATGATTCTTATCTTTCAAACTAGAGAAATACATGGATTCGGCCTTAACCATATGTTCGCTGTTTTACATTGTACTACGATCATCTTTTGCATTTGTATAAAAGGAATAATTAGAAATGTCGTATGTCGTCAAAATTATCATAGTAAATTTTGGGATGTATGATAACTATTTAATTATCTCGGATGTACAATCCTCATTAGAAATTCTCATATTAAACCAACTTATAAATTCCTTGTTATGTCGTGTCAAAAACAACTTGTCATTAATTCAGGGATATTTTTTCTTTATAATTTTTTTGTGAGTAGTTATGTAAGGTTCAACTACACTAAGATTATTCAATATATATAAATGATCTTGAAGTACTACATCCTGACCCATTGACTTAACATTTAAACCTTGAGTACCTCTAATTTCAAATTTGTCAGCATGACGAAACTTTGGAATTTCAATAGACTCTATTTTCGCCAAATAGTTTGAACAAAATCACTTGAAAATTAAATTAACTTCAAAGTTAATGGAGATACGGTTACAGCATATCAACCCCAAAATGTTAGTTCTCCATAAGATTCGTACAAAGCAAAAAAATAAAAAATGTCAACAGTGGAAAGAACATCATGAACAGTAGTACGACTGCTACTAGGTATATAAAAGCATAACAAAATTCGGTTCTAACCCAACTGGGTCGAAAAACATAAAAAAAAACTGGTCCAAAACTAAATATTCCTAAAGGCAGAATTCGGGTCTTGACTTCAAAGAATTATTCGAGCCTTCTACACTCTGAATCAGCTTCTTCATGTAACATGAAAGTTGTAGCTCTTTGTCTTAAATTTCCAACGCCTGGTAGAACGCGTAAATTCGACTCTCGTAGCTCCAGTTATTATCCTAACAATGGAGAGATATCAAATAACCGCTAAAGTTGTAAATAAGCTGCGAAAATAGATTAATGACAAACAAAAACTTAATTATAAAAACATAATAAAACAGTAAAATAAACAAAACAAACTAAGGAAATGCCTAAGTACAAAAATAAGAGATTGTGCAATAAAATGCACTGATCAAATTCCCCCATACTTGAACTTTTGCACTCAGAGCAAAATAGTATCAAGACTCATGAAAAACAATAGCATTCAGAAACTCATTATAGGCTACAAACTCTTCTTCGGTCAAGATTGTATTGATAGGTACTAATTTTGCATACTAAGGATATTGTAAGAACACAAATATGCATTTGTGCGGTTATAAACCTCCCTCCTATTCAAACCAATCTGAATCATGTTATTATGCATAAGCCTAATTTACTCATCCTCCTTTTTACTCTATTTCATTCTAATGCAATCACATTAAACCCGTTATCTATTCACGCACATGGTAAACAAGCTCGTTAGTGACTATGATCCATATCTTGTCAATAATTCAAAATTAACCACTTTAGAAACAACCATATTTTTTTTTTGAAGGTTTCACAATCGTTAGCCTAAGTGACCGGGTGAGGGTCACCTAACTTAAAAGATGGATTTCTATTTAGATTTCTTATTAAGCACGAGATCATTCACTTATTTGCATCAACTTAATTACTTAGTATGTGATTTCTAGATGACGTTAATTGCTATATAAACTACTTAAGAGCTATTAAAGGGTGAGAGCTCAAGGCTATGTCATAACAAGTATTTAAATCGACTTCCATATTCGGGAGACTTAAGGTGTTAAAAAGGTACTGATCTTATGAATTTTCTCAAGTCTCCACAATCTAACCTCAAATTAATCTATAGCATAAAAATTTCAAAACATGCATTGTGTTTCTAAGTAAATTTTTTTTTAAAAAATTTTTCACTTACAAAAAACAGAACAAAACAAAGAAAACTAAAAGAAAACAAAACAAAGAAATAGTTCTCTCTCCCACACTTAAAACATACATTATGCTCAATGAAAGAATATAAATAAAAATAAGAGTGATGAGAGATAGGAAAGGACACACCTGAGGAGTCAAGGTGGATAGATGATCACATAAATAACCATTCATAAAGAGAACTCTTCTACACTCTCTTCTTCCAAAGTGGGGCTCTCATGGAGTAGCTTTAGGCAGTGACCATTGTTTTTGATATTTTTAGTAATTCCTTCGTCTTTTATTCCAGGATCAAATAAGGTCCTTCGATAAGTAAAAATGTAGAATGAGTACGTGAATGTGATCTCATTTTTCACAACATAAAGAATCAAAGGATTAAGGGGTTGTCTCACTAATTTTGTTCCATCTTCAAGTGATACCCTATGCATACTCATGGATGGGCTATTACTAGGAATGTCAGTCAAGGTCCATCCAATTGCCTTCTTATGCTTCTTTAATACATGCAACACTTTTTGTTTCTATTCAGATTCAAGTTTAGAAAAATTATTATAGGCAAATTTTCTTCCAATTCTAAAAGTGCATATTTAAAATTTGAAGAAAGTGGCTTAAGCTCTAAAGTAGATGGTTGCTCAATGGATGACAAAATTTTGGAAGCAGGAACTACATTTAAATCTGCAACATCAACTTTATTAGTAGAAATCTCATAAGAAATATCAACCTGTAAGGCAGCTTTAATTTCAACACAAACTGAACATAAGTGAGTGTCAATACAAACATCACAAGTATAATTGTCATCAAAATCAGAGAAAGAATGGAAATCGGCAAAAAGTGAATCAGGTGCAGCAAGTTATATTACGGTTCTTTTTTCACTCATGTTATGGTAATGAAACTTAAAATCAAAATCAAACAAGATATGAGAGAACAAGAATCAACAATGCAACAATAAATAGGAAAATATCAGCAATGTCCACAAACAACAAAATAGATGGAAAACACAAAATAAAACGATTAAAATAAAAAAACATAAAATTTAATCTAATTAAGCAAAAAAAGAATTTTGAGAATTTTTTCGAATTTTTTCGAAACTATGAAAACAGTAAAATATTCATAAAAAATAGAAAAATGATTATTTTTGGATTTTTAGGGCGACGTCCTCTATTTAGTAGAGGCTTTCGATCCCTGATTTTTTTTCTAATGAATCGAAAAAGAATCAGACTAATCTGAGAATATTTTCCTAAAATCGAATTTTTTGACTAGATCAGACGCGAGACGGGGTGTCCGGACGCGAAACAGAAAAACAGTCAAACGAAATTTTAAAACACACTAATTGACATCTATGACTCAACTAACGGTTAAAATCGACAAGAATCCATGGCAACAACGCCAATTTGATTCGCTGTCGTGCACGGATCAAAAACGAGTATTTTTGAAAAAAAAATATAGTAACGGTAA